GTCTCTCGGATGAGAGACGAAACGTTTCTACATTTTTTTGTTGGTTTTGCTTTGTTTTGTTTTTTTGAATGTCCAGAGGACCAGATTGAACTTTTTTGGAATACAGGAAAGCAGCAACAATATCCCGCCCTTCTCTGCAGCTAGAGTCACTAAGGCAGCTGCTTGGTTTAAGGTCCTGATGAGGCCGCCCTGCAGCAACTATCAGCTCCGTCTGAACTTTTTCACCGCAGCGCAGGAACATCACACGCCTGAACGAGAACTGAAGCAGTACTCACTTGTCCGATACCGCCCTGGCTTTGAGCAAAGCTGCAGTGTAGCATATTGTTGCAGATTTGGGCAAGCTAATATCTGCGGAGGACACAAAAGACAGATGGGGTTGGTGGTGAATGAAAACAGTAAAGGCTGTAGTTAGAAGAGACGTGTTCATAAAAATAATAATAAAAAACGCTGCCTGCTGGAGTAACAACAATCACAATATAACACTCAGGTGTCCTCTTCTTTCACTTTACAGAAGTGATTCATCACATCATCTGGCTCAGACTGAGGGATCATGAAGAGCCGTCGCTTCAGCAGTGAGCAGCTTATTAACCCTCGTGTCGTCTTTGGGGGAAAAATCAGCCACATATTTACTTTTGTCTCTGTTTTTATTTTTTTTTACAGTTAATCAATTTTTCTGACAAAGTCTAAAGATCCTTCTACTTTTTCATTTTGTCAGAATTTTTCCAAACACACTCACAACCTCACAGTAACTTTACGATTCTTTAGGGAACAATCGACCACATTAAATACACTAAATACATCTTTTAATCTCATTTTTATCGGATCCTAAAACTACGCACCCTCTCCGTTCGGTTTGTTCTTTTTATCTGTTCCTAAACTTTGTTTTTCTCTTGGCTCAGTGTGGTGCTTCGCTTGATATTTGAGGGTCTGTAAAAGTGCACAGACGAGCTCAACCCCCCCAGAAACACAACCATCAGTCAGAGTTCTGCCTCAGCTCGTCCAACAAGTTGTTTTATTTCACATGTAAAGAACAAAAACTCACCTGTTTGTGCACAAGTGCACGTTTAGTACTAAACAGCTGTTTCACATGCATGCAAGCTGCAGCATCGGACGCTCCACGTCTGACAGCGCACGACTGTTTTTGGAAAAAGTAAATGTCCATGGGTAGAGTTTTAAAAAAAATTAAGAAAACTAATAAAAAATAAAATAAATAAGAACCTTTGACTGAAAACAAGGCCTCATTTTCAGCTATTTCAGCTACTGGATCTGAAGGGGCTGGAAGATCTGGAAGGTCTTCACAAAACTCCGGACTGGAATATTTTTTTTAAATTGTCAAAATAATTTTAGGCATACTAATAGTGTGGGAGGGGGGGGGATGCTCTTCTTCCCCAAAAATTGCCATAAAATACATACTTTCTCAAAAAAAACAACCTAAAATGTAAAGTTTATTAAAACTAAAGGTCCTTAATAGGCACTGCATCATGAAGGACCACACTCACCCAGCACACACACTTTTTGCCCCACTCCCCTCAGGAAGGAGGTTGAGGAGCATTAAGTGTAGAACCACTAGACTGAGGAACAGCTTCTACCCTGAGGCTGTTAGACTCATGAATCTCTAACTAGAATAATCACTGTGAAAAATCACATCATGTTGCTGTTGATCCGTTTCATGTTGCTGTTGATCCGTTTCATGTTGCTGCTGATCTGTTTCATGTTGCTGCTGACCTGTTTCATGTTGCTGCTGATCTGTTTCATGTCGCTGCTGATCTGTTTCATGTCGCTGCTGATCTGTTTCATGTCACTGCTGATCTGTTTCATGTTGCTGTTGATCCGTTTCATGTCGCTGCTGATCCGTTTCATGTTGCTGCTGATCTGTTTCATGTCGCTGCTGATCTGTTTCATGTCACTGCTGATCTGTTTCATGTCGCTGTTGATCCGTTTCATGTTGCTGCTGATCCATTTCATGTCGCTGCTGATCTGTTTCATGTCGCTGCTGATCTGTTTTATGTCGCTGCTGATCTGTTTCATGTTGCTGCTGATCTGTTTTATGTTGCTGCTGATCCATTTCATGTTGCTGCTGATCTGTTTTATGTTGCTGCTGATCTGTTTCATGTTGCTGCTGATCTGTTTCATGTTGCTGTGTTCATTCGTGCTCATCTACTCACACAGACTCATGTTCGTTCTGCTGTTCGACGTATTTTTATTGTTTTTATGCCGTTAGTGCTTAGTGTATTTTTATTTTAACATTTTTCTTAGTTCGTATCTTAGATCTTATGACTGTTTTTTTTACGTTTTATACGTTTGAGGATGAAACTGGGACCCTGTGGACAGTATGTCCTTCCACCATATAAAGGATTTTGAATCTTGAATGTTAAAGAGTTACAAAAAACATTTAAATGACGGTAGATATTTTTGTTGCAGGAGGAGAGAGCTCAAAGATGAATTAGTTTGACTCTGGAAAAATGAAGCAATAAAAAGTATTTTAAGCAGTTAAGGTGGTAGATAAGTGGTCATGTGACGATACGAGGGTTAAAGAGTAGCACTTCTCAACAGATCCATGGCTTTACACAAAAGGCGGGAGAAGCTTTGAAAATATTGTGGTGTTATCTACCGAGGTTGAGTCAGGTCCTCAGGACGTGGTCTCAGTCTCTGACATCGCAGAAGCCTGGTGTGCAGACCTTCTATACATTTTAATGTTCAATAAATATTTTGTTGTAAACACCTTGATTAAATCTTAAAACAACACAATGGCAGCGTAAGGACAGCTCTGCTCGATTCCACTCCTTTATTTCTAAATTTCAAACGATCAAAGCAGCGGAGCAGAAAATGGGAACGACTAAATGAACCTGGGAGCACACCTCCCTCGGTCCTGCTTCACCAAGTAAATGAAAAGTGTCAGGGAGTTAGCTTCTGCACGCAGAGCTAACACCACCATGTTTAGGTAAACAATCATAACTTTACTCATCCATCTTCATGATTAAGGGTTCTTGTTGCAAAAGGGTCGTTGATAAGTGCTGAAATGTTCAGTGTCTGACGATGTTAGTAAAAGTAAAGGCCTCCGCGTGGATCAGAGACGTGTGCGGGTCTCACCGTCGTACTTGGCCAGAACAGCCTGGACGTCGGCGTAGTTCTGGAGCTCTAGTAGCGACTCGAGCAGGTTTTCATGGATGTTGAACATACTGAGGAGAGGGAACTCCTTCATTAACTGGAAAACACACAACTGTTGTTACATGTGACAGCAGGCAGGGGGCGGCAGTCAGCAAACAAAAGCTACAGCTGCAGTGACGTCCAGTTACAACAAACTGACTGAAATGTTTAAAATGCTTTTATAGTGTCAGAGTGGGTCAAGATCCTCAGGCTGTGCTCTTACATCTCTCATCATTTTGACTGCTTCTCGAGTTCGGCCGAGCTTTCTGGAGCACATGGCCAGCCTCCTTTTTATATACACCAACACATTAGTGTCTCTTCCTGGTGGACAGACAAAAATCAGTCTTCAAACGGGTGAATGTGTCATTTGGTGCAGAGGTGTGGAGGGACGGTTCTACTCACTGTGCTGGGCTTCATACTGAGTACCGTGATGCTGCAACTGTTGGCTGCGGCGGTAGCAGCCCTCGCCAGCTTTTAGGGCTTGTTTAAACAACCGCTCAGCCTCCATGATGGTGGTGGCCTCCTCCTCTGCTAGAAGGATGTACGCTGTCGCACAGCTACGAGAGGAGAGGATTCAATCTTTACCAAAGAGGTTTCTTTTTCATTTTTCTGCACAGCTCTGCTGCACAAGCAGCTTCTGCACTTCGTACATTTGGAAGCAGCACCTGACGGAGCTCTGATCAGAGGAAATGTTCTCCGAGTCAGCCGGCTGAGAGCAACACGTGAAGCCAAGAGGTTACTGTCTGAGCTGTGATGTTCCCCAAAATAAACATTAACCATCAGTACACAGCAGAATTGTATTTAAAGTCTGATGTATACATGTAATACATGTAATACATGTAATACATGTATACATGTATTACATGTATTA